GACGCACTGGGCATCTGGGATTCCGTACTTTTAGCCGACACCGAGAAGTCCTATGACAGTCTCCGCATCGACAGAGTCATGCCAGGAGCACTCGAGCTCAGCTTCCCAGCGAGACCCTTCTACCTCATGATGCTACAACACTCAGCGACGATAATATGACACAGTCAAGGAGCATATTCACTTCCACTATACGCCGGCCGTTCGTTTCTCGCAGGGTTACGCCAGTCAGCGACGCGGCCAAAGAGGTAGTGTACGCGGCCATGGCGAAGTTGACTGGCACCACTGACATACCACGACCTGTGCCGCGAGCATGGTTCGACGACATCAGCAGACGGATCGTCGGCGGCAGCGCGCAAGTGATCCCAGCCACCGTAGCAGCAACGCACAAGCTGCACCTGGGCCTCGGGGAGCGGGGGCCCAAGCTAGCCGACAAAAAGGCGCTCATGTCAACGACCAACCGCGACACCAAGGACGCGCAACAGCAACCCAAGCACTGCGGCATCGATATCAGCACCACGAACGATGGGCAGATACCTGGGAGCCGACAGAGCAGCCAAGCCAGAGGAGGAAGTACCAAGCGAGCGACCCACAGGTCACGATGGGCAGGAGTGCAAATGCGCTTTGGAGCAGCGGGCCGCAAGCTATGGCGACTACGTGTACGGCGCAGAGTTGGGATCGCACGACAGGGCGGCATGGCCTCACTACGCTACGGAGCTGCATTCCACGGTATGGCCCCACGCGCGCTTCAACAGGCACGGCGACGACATTCACAAGCCATACGGACACCATGGCCAGGTGGGTGCCTCACCGCGCATCTGGCCGTGGAGGGTACCGACCCCGCCTGCACCAGTATGAAGAGTTTGTTCGTCAACTGGTTCAGCTGTTGGGGGGGCCGCCATGACCTACGAGCACAGGTGCGACGGGCATGGCCAAGGATCTACTTCCGATTCCTGAGGACACCAGCACAGCAACGATGGAGGAAGAAGAGAGACCTCATTGCCGCTATCATCCAGGCGCTAATTATGGGAGCTAGGCTGGGACTCGCGAGGGCTCGAGACCTGGATCGGCACAAACAAGAACTACTGGAGGCACCCCGTGGACGGCGAGCGAGGCGACCCGACCGACATCGTCGACGCGCTCATGACAGACGTCGCCCGCTACCTCTGGACGACCGCAGCACAACACCACAATGGATGAGGCCTGGAAGCGAGCGGGGCAGAAGCCGCCGACCTTCGACGGCACCTGGCGCGGCTACTACGACGCGGGAACTACGCGCTGCTGATCGCATCATGCGCGGGGACCTGGACACGAGCCAGACAACGAGCGTGCTTCTGCGATTGCAGCAGAATGCGAAAGTGGAGCCGAAGAAACTGACTACCACAGAATCTGGCAGCACTGCGACGCCCGCGACGACCACGGCATCTTCCGCAAAACACGCAAGCTACAACGTCAGGCTGAAGTGGGCCACCACACTACTCCAGCGTTCTGGCTACGAGGCATCACGCCACGATCATGGCCGGTGCCGCCAGTGTGCGACACGGAGCACTGGGGCCAATTGCATGGGCGACAGCATCCACCGCGGACGCATCACCACAGAAGGCGGAACACCGATCGTGGCGTACGGCGACGGATTTTGAGGCAAATGCAGCACCGACTGGAGATGCAGACGTTGCGGCTGGGCCTGGCTGCGACTTGGCGGCGACGACGTGCGCGCCGCCGCGGGCAAGTACGGCCCCTTCCCAGGACGGCGCCAAACCAAAAACCGAACGGAAATTTGGGCGCTACTTGATTGCCTCAGGAGTATTGCGCGACCACTACATTTCTGGACCGACAGCGAGATCGTCTACAATGGCTGGGCAGCACGACGATTCGAACGACCAGCAGAAGCGGCAACCAACGGCGACCTGTGGAAAGAGATAGAGCGAGAGTTTCAACAACGAGGACCAGCAGACGAAGTACAGCACTACCACACCAACAGCCACCTCAGCTAGGAAGAAGCCGAGGAGAAGGACTACCCGCGGCACGCATGGCACGGCAACGCGCAAGACGACAGGCACGCAGACATCGCAGCAGAAGCACGGGACATCGACGACGCAACGGCGCAGTGCTTCAACTGGGTGAAAGCGACGGCGGCCATGGTGAGACGACGAATCATGACAACAACGCAGAAACTCCTGGAGCGACCCCAGCCGAGAGCCGTGACATCAAGGCCAGGAGACGACAGTAGAAACGAGCCGAACGAGAACAACGGAAGAGCAAAGCAGACTACTTCGCACCAGGACCACCTGAGCCCGACGGACGACGACCACCAACGACGCACCAATTCCGACGACTTCGACGCGGGAAGGGTTGGAAGTGCAGTTGTTGCCGTCAAAGTGCGGGGAGGGACACACAACCTTCGACGACACCGCAATTTGGTTCAGAGACGGATGCGACGGGCCACCGCCACGACAAGGGACGGAGCTACAGATGCACGGCAACTCAGCACACCCAACACATCGATTCCAACACTGGAGCAGAGAGCACAGATGGCATTGCATATCATGTGGGGCAACAGCTGTGGAATACGTATCTCAGACGATGTAAGCATAATGTCACGGAGCTCCACTACACAGCAGCCTCCAGCACGAGCTGAAGAAGTGGAACGAGGTGGCGCAGACAGTTCGGCGCCAGCACCACCGGCGCGGCAAGACGGACGGCAGCCGGCACCACCACGCCAGCAGCCTGTCGCGGCAGCACATGTTTTTGGCGAGTTCCCCTTCTCCCGTTGAAGGAGTTGACGCGGCAAGCACCGCAGGCAGCTCGACGCCGGTGGCGACAGCGCAGCACGACGACCAGCCCGACGCGGGACAGCGACGAGCGCGGCAGCAGGACCCCTCTCCAGCAGCACGACGGACGGCACCCGACCGACAGCGGCACGGAAACCAGCCAGCGGGCACGCGCCACACTCAGGAGGGGAACAAAACACACAGACACAATGAATCGTCAATTCCCCGGAGAATATGGGAAAATATGGGAACTGGGGGCGAAGACAAAAATCCAGAAAATATGGGAAAATATGGGGGATCGTCTTATTTGTGTGTATTTATGTGTGTGTCCTGGGGCCCCTTCACACACTACCTCCCACGAGGATGGTCGCGAGAACCAACCCGACCGGCATTCCGTCGCTAGCGGTTTGCCGAACACCGTTCCTGACCGCAACGGCCGAGAGTGCGAAAGATCGGCGGAGACGGTGGGTGTGCAACGTCTCCTGGCTGCTGCCAGCAGGCCCGATGAACAGCACGACGGGCAGCGGCGCGACGAGAGCCAGCAGCACCACCAGCCGACGAGCACCACGGGACGCCAACAGCACGACCAGCAGAACCACAGCCTCGAATACAAGCTGAAGAAGTGCAACAGGATGGCCATCGCTGGGGGGGATGATGTGGTAAGCAGCGCAGACAGTTCGACGCCAGTACAGACAGTGCAGCACGACGGACAGCAGCCAGCACCACAGCACCAGCAGCACGACGACCACCAGCAGCACCAGGACAGCTGGACGGAGAGCAGCTCAGCATTGTTCCACTCGCCTCAGCCAGGCGCGAGTGGAGGGGGGGTGGGCCCCAGGGCCGCGACCCCCCGAGAGGAGGCCGCCGCGGCGACGGCGGCGGGCGCGGCCTTGGCTGGCCGAGCGACCCGCGCGGAGCGAGAGGCGAAACAGCTGACACAGCTCCTCCCCCTTCCCCCCTTCGTTTTCCTGCCCTGTGCCCCTTCGCCTCCCCCTTCCCCCCTTCTCCCCCTCCTCCCCCTTCGTTCCCCCCTTCTCCCCCTTCCCCCCTTCGCCTCCCCCTGCCCCGTGCCCACGCGCGAGCCCTACCCCTGGGGGTCCACTCGACGCTGGGGCATCGGACACCTCCGCCTGGTTTGTTCCGGCTGCAGACATCGCTCGGACTCTGAGCCCCAGCAGGCGTTTCACAAAAATCTGACCCGACCTGCAGGGACAGGGCCCACATTTCATTGCCAACCTGCTGTTCCTCCTCCTCCTTTTCCTCCTCCTCCTCCCTTCCGTCTCCTCCTCCTCCTCATCATCCTCCTCCTCCTGCTGTTCCTCCTCCTCCTCCTCCTCCTCCGCAGGGATGAAAGCCCAGCGCCGACCCAAAGTATCCGCGCGGAGTTCCGAACGTTTGGGTTCATGTAGTTTTTCATTCTGCGACAATTGCCCCGAACTCTGACCTGCAGGGGCAGGGTGCCTGCACGGTGCAGTTCCGCGCCAAGGGGCCACTCGTCCAGCACATGCTGTGACAGAAGCGAGTGACGGCCAGGCACGAAAAACGCTGGGGCCACCGCTCCCTTCCCAGACTTCCGACGAGCCACGTGTGTCCAAGGAGGGGACTCATCCATACAGTGGAGGCCCATGCCAAGAAAACCTGCTTGCCTCCAGGGTGCCCTAGGTTTCTTGGGTTTCGATGGCTTTGCGGTGGAAGGCGTGACGTTGCCACACTAGAAGTCAATGGACGTCCTGGGGTCCCAGGGTTGGGTTTCTTGTGGACGGTTTCTTGTGGTCGGGCCCCCACTGTAACCACCGCCTGGGGGATCGACCTTCGCGGACGTCCACAGGCGGTGGGTATGGATACATGGGGGCCATGGGGGGCCAAAACATGTCTATATCCACCGTCCGCTGGGGCGCCGGGACGTCGGTTCCCAGGCGGTGGGTAGGGATCAAGTCCCCGCGGGGCGGGGGTGGGCTGGGCCTCGGGACCGTCAAGAATCGACCCAGGACGAAAAACCGGCCCTGGGAAAGTGGTCCAGACCTCAGGGGCCCGCACATCGAAAAACTTGGAGCAGCCAGATGTCTGGGCAGAGCGTTCCGGCGCGCTCTCAGAGCGTTCCGGAACGCTCTGAAACAGACGCGGCGCCCGATACATCTTTCAAAAGTCGCCGATTTTCAACGATTTCCGATCCCCATGCTGCAGACATGCGACGTCCATATTTTTTCATCACGGCGCCCCCGGGAGTTCCGCAGCCAGTTTGGCTCCAGGCCCGCCCCACGGTCTGGTCGGAGCGCCCTGCAGGAGAGGCCTCCAGGCAGTGGCGGTGCGTGCTTGTTTGGGTCCCCTGGATACCGGCACGGATGGCGGACAATGGCGTTTGCGACAGTGGCACCTGCCCGAGAGCCGAGCTGCCGGAGTACTGCGTCACGGAAGACAACTCGCTGCCGACGGGCTTGTGCTACGTGGAGGATTTTCTCTCGTGGTCCGCAGGACCGGCCCGGGAGCTGCTGCTCAACCGTTTTGCTCTGCTTGTTAGTTTCATAATGATCTTGCAGTTCCACTTGATGCCCTTGCTCGCATATTGGTGTGAAAAATACAAGTTCACCGTCGGAGCGAAGGTTATCAGGGCTGCTTTCGGGCATTCTAGAAAATCGAACTTCCTTCGCAGCCTCGGCCGGCATATTTACATCTTGAACATCTACTACAGTGGGGCATTTGAGGCCATGGAGGCAGCCGTGTTCGGCTCGCACGAACATCAGCCCTTCATCGAGTCACTCCTCTTCGCGTTCTTCGAATCTCTTTTCGTTAATCAGTTTTTCCGCTACCTGCAGAAGAACCGATATGATTACGAATTTCAGGAAGCCAAGGCGATGCATAAGAATTTGAGGGAAATAATCGTCACCAAGTTTGCGGACTACTCCGTCCCATGGGGCTTCTCGACAATACTTTTTATCGCGCAGTTCATGCTGTTCTCTGTATTCATATTGGACATGAACGGCGATGAGAACACGCACTGTAGATGCAAGATGAATATCTACCATTGGTTTGCTGCGGTGCTCGTCACGAACGTCTCCGGTCATGACGAGAGCGGTGGGACCTTCAAGCAATCAGCATGGCATTTCTTGTGGACATCTGAGAGTAACCAATTCAAAGTGAAAGATTATCCTGTAGAAGGTTGGAGCCGCTGGTTCTATGATAGCACCATCAACGCTTTTTGTCGTGAAGTTCTCCTCTGCCTCGCACCAGTAGCTCTTTCTGTCTCCGATCGTAACGATCTCGTGAAGGATTGCCTGGCCATCTTCTTCATCTCGAGGATGGACGACATCGAGCCCAGGACGATTGAAAACTCCCTCAAGGACTGGAGCGAGCAGCGCATGCTCCTTCGGTCGAGTGGGTTCGACCAGACCACAGAAGTCGAAGAGGGCCTTGGCCAAACAAGTCAGGCGGAGGCCGCCTCTGGCCCTGAAGGTCAAGAAGCACTCTTGGGAGAGTAGGCCGCTTGGGGGCCGAATTCGACGACCGAACCCAGCCAGCTTGAAGACAAGCTCAAGCTTCTGTGCTGGAAGGTCAGCTTGGCGGCTGCGAGGGAAGGCCCTCTCGGCGGCGGCCGCCGTCTTGTGCTGCGTGCCGCACCCGTGGGGCCCACCCTCCGGAAGATCCAGGGCTCGCGCGCGCGCTTGCGCCCCGTCGCGGCTTGCAGGAGCGTGTGGAGCGCTCGGGCACGGGCCTGCCTGGATCCTTCCATGGTCTTCCGGCTACGGCGTGCTTGCACTTCCGTCGAACCGGTTGAAGCAACTCCGGCGCCGCCCCACCCGCCAGCTCGTGCTCCGAGCAGGACCCCGCTGGCGCTGCCGTGGCGTCATCCGCTGTGAACGCCGCGTCGGCCGTGCCCGTCTAGCTTGCGGCTGTGCCTTGGCATCGCTCGGACGTGTGCATGTTTCCTTCGGCGGAGGACCATCGAGGAGCATCCTTGATCTCAGAGCGTGAATTACCTCCCCCGCTTTCGCTTCCAGGCAAAACCAAGTCATACCACGCGCCTTCTCGTCAAGCGGCCTGACCAGTACAGGCCGTGGTTGGGCATCGCTTGGTATCTCTTGGAAGCGAGGGTGGTCAAAAGCGAGGTAGGTTTGTTTTGCCCCTATGATCAATTCGGAGAAAAAAAACCCACGCAGGAAACCGAACAAAAAGCACAGGGAATGGACGTCCGAGCGATGGCCAGGTGCTCGCCGAGCTTCCCGCGGGCGCAGCCGTGCTCCGCGCGCGCCCGGTGGGGGCGAGCCTTCCGCGAGCTCGTAAATGCCATGCCTGTATATGTCTCTCGGCCAGCTCTCCGCCGCGGTCGCCCTGCGATGCCTGGGCGCAACCTGATGCAGGTGGGGCTCGGCTGACGGGTGAACCACCGCTTCGACACCTTGCTTTGAAGACACATCGTGTGACAAAACGATGGTGATCAAGAATACGGCGTCCACGGAAGTCCATCCTTTCCCCAGGGTCGGTCTTTCATCCCAAGTCGTTTTCTGACGCCCTCAGGGGCCGAATGTAGTGGAAAATTGGCCGTCCTGATTTTGTTTCGACGCGATCATGTCTGGGTGGGTAACGATCCGAGTTGGTCTTGAGTCGGGCGTGTCCCTCCACAGGGGAAATATTCAGAAATAGTCTAAAAATAGTCTGGGGACGATCTGTGGACTATTTTTGAGTATTCGGGGGGTATGTTTCGAGTTTTTTTTTTTTCGCTCACAATCTCCCTGTGGGGGGGGAACACGCCCGACTTAATTCTGCCTTTCTCTTACCACATGCCGTCGGGGCGCCGCGGCACACGACATCGCAGGCGCCATGGTCCCGGGAGGCCAGGCGTGGCCCCAAACAGGCGTACTCTGGAGAGTGGGCCTCCTCCTCCTCCTCCTCCTCCTCCTCCCCCTCCTCCTCCTCCTCCTCCTCCTCCTCCTCCTCCTCCTCCTCCTCCTCTCCTCCTCCTCCCCCTCCCCCTCCCTCCTCCTCCTCTCCTCTTCTTCTCTTCTTCCTCCTCCTCCTCCTCCTCCTCCACCTCCCCCTCCGCCTCCTCCCCCTCCTCCTCCTCCCTCCTCCTCCTCCTCCTCCTCCTCCTCCTCCTCCTCCTCCTCCTCCCCCTCCTCCTCCTCCTCCTCCTCGGGACGCCCAACGGCTGCGTTTGACCGCCCACCGTGGCTGGAACCGCGGCCGCTGCGGCACCTCACGCGGGTCATGATGTTCCAGCCTGCGTCGGCCTGGATCGCCAGAAAACGTTTCGAGCACCAGGGAGGTGCCGAGACTGGAGGGCTTCTTCGCGTCTCGGGCCCGGGGAGGCGATGGTCGCTCGACACCGCTTCGGAACTGCTGGGCGCTCGACAGGAGTTCTGGGATGTGGCTCTCGAGCACGATGGGAGCAGCGCAACACTGGGGTCTGAGCCTCCTAGACTTGGCATCGCTCGGACGTGTGCACCTGTCCTTCGGCGAGGACCATCGAGGAGCATCCTCCATCATTTCGCGAAAAAGCCACGCACGAAACCGAGACAAAAACATACATGCCATGGAGGTCCGAGCGATGGCCAATAGATGGGGTCGGAGCAGCTGGGGTCGGAGGGTCACGCTGCGTCGCCGATGCGGCCCGATGCCGAGCCCGATCCGCGTCACGTCGACGTCGCCGATGCATCGCCGACACGTCGCCGATGCGTCGCCGGCGCAGCGCCTCGTGGGGCAACGGCGCGCTGCCGCCGAGCTGACGGGCGCGCCGCCCGGCCCCGCGCCGGCCCGGGCCAACCGAGGGCCTCCAGGAGGCAGCGCCGGCCCCTCCCGCGCACGACGGGGGCCCCGCCTCGGCCTGGCTTCATAAAGCGACGCGAGGATCGGGACAAAATCGGACCGGGAGAACTCGAAATCTCTGAGAATCGGCGGGTTTGGAGGATGTATTGGGCGCCGCGGCCGCTCCAGAGCGTTCCGGAACGCTCTGAGAGCGCTCCTGGCTTCAGTCAGAGCGTGAGTTACCTCCCCCGCTTTCGCTTCCAGGCAAAACCAAGCCATACCACGCGCCTCCTCGTTGAGCGGCCTGACCAGTACAGGCCGCACTTTGGCATCGCTTGGTATCTCTTGGAAGCGAGGGTGGTCAAAAGCGAGGTAGGTTTGTTTGCCCCCTATTCAGGTCGGGCGTGTCCCTCTGCGGGGGGGAGATTCACAAGTAGTCAGAAGACAGTCTGGGGACGATGTTTGACAATTTTTGAGCAGTTGGAGAGTGCATGTTTCAAATATCTGTTATTTTTCGCCCAAGATCCCCCTGCGGGGGGACACGCCCGACGTAAACTTGGCTGCCGCCGAGAGCCCTGAGGTGAGATGTGTGGTCCGAGATGCAGTCTGCCCTGATGCCAAAGGACCCAGAGATCCGACGCTCCCCCCAAAAAATGGAGCCGGCGGTTTGGGGCTGGTTTCGGCCTCCGGGGGCCCTCGCCGGGCCTCGGGACCGTCGAACAGCGGTTCAGGACGAAAGACCAGCCGTGGGGAAGTGGTCCAGACCTGTGGGGGCCACGCATCGAAAATTTCGGAGCAGCCAGATGTCTGGGGAGGAAAACCACCCCGTCCCCGATAATTGAAGTTTATTGAACGGCCCTGGGCGCTTGCGAAACAGCCCTGTCGTATTCGATTCCTTCCTTGAGTGCGTTTACGCAACGTCGGGGTGTTTGCTATGAGGGTGGATTTTCTGGTCTCTATGATGGGTAGGTCGACCATGGCAAATCGAGGGTACCTTGGTGTCCTGTCTCTCGAGTCCATGCGCAGCGCTGCCCTCGTGTGGCGTCTGGCCACAGCATGCTGCCAGGGTACGGCAGGTTCGCGTCGTGCCGACCAGCGGCGGGAGAGGAGGGGGGAGGATCTTCGGAGGGTGTTTTCAGAGGGGATTTTCGAAGGCAGATTTTCGGAGGGGGGGGATTTTCGGGGGTTTTCTGAAGGGGGGGATTTCGGGCGGAAGGGGGGGGATTTTGACACCAGTGCAGCGTACACAGAACTCGTTCTCTCTTATGTGCGCATCGTGTGTGTATGCATGTATGCATGCATACATGCATGTGTGTATATGTGTATGTGTATGTGTATGTGTATAGGAATAGGCCCGGGGGTTGCCGAGGCCGGTGCCGTACCCCCCCATGGAGGTATTGGGGGGGTCCCAGGGCTCCCGAGACTGCCCGGGCCCGCTCCCAAACACGCCATGACACGCCAAGAGGGCCCTAAAGATAGCCAAGACAGCCCCAAGAGGCCCCGGACACGCCGAAGATGGCCTCAGAACGGCCGACGACGCCGCCAAAACGCCCCAAGAGAGCCTCCAGAGGCCCCTCCAAAGGGCCCCAGAAGCTGAAAATCATCAACTTTTCTATTGATTTTGAAGCATATTTGCGCTCTCGCATGTTCCGCCTCCCCATGGTCCCGGACGGCGTTAGAGGCCCTTCAGATCGCTCCAAGACGGCCGAGGAGGCTCCCAAGAAAGCCCAGAGACGGCCCAGGAGGCTCCCAGATAATTCAAGAGGGCCTCGAGAGCGCCCCAAGAGAGCCCCAAGAGCGACCCAAGAGGGCCCGAAGAGCGCGACATTTCAAGGTCTCCGGTCTGAGAGGATGCTAGGACGCCCCCGGAGGCTATCGAGAGGCTCCCAAGAAGCCCCGTGAGGCTCCCAAAAGGCCCCCTGGAAGCCCCAATAGGCCCCCAAGGGGCCCCCAGGGAAACCCCCTGCGGGCCCCCAAGACAGCTCGGTAAATTATATTTCCCAGAACTTTCCGGGAACATGATTCCTGGGGCTTCAGCCCACCGCCCCAACCATGTTTCCAATAGGCTTGCCGACAAGGCCAAAAGGGGCCCTCGGTAAGCCCCCAGAGGCCCCCTCTTAAGAGGGCCGAACAAATCATGCTCCCAGAAAGCTTCCCGGGAACATGATTCTCTATCTCGGAGTAGGCCCGGGGGAGGGGGGGCGGGCCGCTGCTTGTTCCCCCCATCGGTGCCCGCCGGGGGTTGTGGGGGGTTTCCAGAGCTCCCCAGGCGGCTCGACCCCGCCCCGAAACAGGCCACGACAGGCTAAGGGGTCCCGAGAGGGCCCAAGACGGTCCCAAGAGGCCCCGAAGACGCCCAAGATGCCTTCAAAACAGCCGACGAGAACTCCAACACGCTCCAGGACGGACTCAAGAGGCTCCCCAAGAGGGCCTTGGGATGCAAGATTCACTCATGTTTCGAGTGTTTTGGATTTTGGCGTTCTCGCTTTTCCCGCTTTCCAGCGCTCTCTCACGGCCTCGGAGGCCCTCCGGATCGCTCCAAGACGGCCCACGAGGCCCCGAAGAGGGCCCGACGACGAAACGACGCCCCAAGAGGCGACGACGCCATTATGACGACGACGACGACGACGGCACGCCCCAACAGGCTCCCCGAGACGCCCCCCAAACCCATGCTCCCAGAAGGCATTCTGGGAACCCGATTCATCCGGCCTCCGCCCCCCTACGCAACCATTTTCCCCGAAAGCCTTTCGGAATGCGGATTGGCATGCGTGGACTGTGGTCCACTATTTCAGTGGAGCAGTGAATTCGTCAAGGCCTGGGACCTGCTGGAACCTGAGCGCGCGCGATGATTATAGTATGTATGTATGTGTGTACGTATGTCTGTCTGTCTGTCTGTCTGTCTGTCTGTCTGTCTGTCTGTCTGTCTGTCTGTCTGTCTGTCTGTCTGTCTTGATGGACGGATGGATGGATGGATGGATGGATGGATGGATGCATGGATGCATGGATGCATGGATGCATGGATGTATGGATGTATGGACGTATGGATGGACGGATGGATGGATGGATGGATGGATGGACGTACGGACGTACGTACGCATGTATGCATGTATGCATGTATGCATGTATGCATGTATGCATGTATGCATGTATGCATGTATGCATGTATGCATGTATGCATGTATGCATGTATGTATGCATGTATGCATGTATGTATGTATGTATGTATGTATGGATGGGTGTGTGCTTCGCGTGTACCTCGTTCGGTTTTGTCTTCGTTATGTCTAGGTGTATGTGTGCGCTTCGCCTGTACCTTTGCAGTGCCCAGTTCGTTCGATTATAGATCAAGGAAACGCTGCCTTCTGGCATTCCGTGGTTTCAAACATTTTCTTGGCGAGTTGCGTGCAGCGCAGGTCGCCCTCGCAGGGAGGGAGGGGCCAGCGCGAGAGAGGAGGCCCAGGGTAGGCAGGACGAGGGACACACATACAATTAAGGTTCAGCCCGCGAGGCAAGGATGACGAGGTTGAGGAGGAGCAGGATAATGGGAGGAGGACGGCCAAGTAGGAGTGAGACTCGGTCAACAACCATTGGTGTTGCAAAGTGGTAGGGATCGTTATGGGATCTTGAGGAGGGAAAGGAAGTACGGGGAATGTAAATGGGTAGGAGGTGACGTCGGCAGGTCTGTGTCAGCTCTGGCAGTTGAAATGACGCATGCGCATGAATTCTCAGGATGGGATCTTTATCTTATTCGAACGACTGGAACAATCACAACATGCAGTGGTTGGGAAAGGATTGGTTTGCCAATGGCCCCCAGGACTTCCGATATGCTGCACGCCGCTTGCGCATCTCTCTTCCGCCTCAGGTAGTTCATCTCTGGTTGGTGGCGCGTATCATATTTAGAGCACCCTGGAACTCCCTTGTGTTGAGGAGGGTCGGTCCTGGTAGATGGCACGAATCGTTCGGGCCCATCCAAGTGCAGCGAGCTCACCCCTCAGG